TGAGTTTACCAACTTTCGTGGCATTCCCCCTGAGCTAGCAAGGCAAATTAGCGCAATGGAAATGCAGCCTAGTAATAAGGTCACCCATTTCAGCTGAGAAAATAAGAATAAGCCTACTTATTCAGTGAGCCAAATGGGGGCTGCCTTCATGTGCAAAAAATTGCAGAGTTCTGCATGTTAGCAAAGGCAGATTAAAAAGCTGGAGCTGTACTGGGGTCAGCAGGACTTTCCCTTGGATGCGATAGTAACTATTGTATTTTTTTTTTCAGGCTGAAAAGGGAGATTGGAAAAGGATCTTTAAAGCAGATGTTAACAGATACAGAAGGGCTAGCCAGAAACACCTCGCTATGCATCAACGCATGCACGTGCTTACAGGTGCTGCCGTGCACACGACGCACGCTCTGCCCTCCGTACGCCACTCTTCAGCGTAGCTCCGTGCATCCAGAAGTACAGCTGCTCTGTCCGATTGTCCCTGGAAAACACAATAGGGAAGAAGTTTTCCCCTTTCCTCCCCTCACAAAAAGGCTTCTCTTGCTGGCACCCATGCAGAGCAGGGTCCCGGGCGAGCGGCGGGGACGCGCGGTGGCTGCGGGCGTTCCTGGCGGCGAGCGGCACCGCGCGGCTTGGTCCGGCTCCAGTGGGTTGTCCGGAGAGTGATTCCCGTTTCCCCTAAGGCTGCCTCTCATTAGCATGAATCGGGGGAAGGGCATAAAAGGCTCCAGTTCATTTTGAGGCTGGGGAAAAAAAAAAAAAAAAACACCCTTTTACTTCAGCATGACAACCAAAGTGTTTTGGCTCCTCTGCTTTCTCATTAGATCCTCTTCCAGCTCAGTGGCCGGTAAGTTTATTAATGTTAAATGTGGGGCTGGGGCACATTTGCTTTTGGTATCGAGGGAGGCTGAACTCATTACTTCCAATTCTTGCCCTAGAAGCCCGTCTTTGCTGTGGTCTTTGCTGTGAGAGGTGGCAGTGGCCACACAAGGGCTGAAGACTGAAATGTTTCTGGATATTAATGGGACGTAAATTGAAAGACTTGATTTTTGAGGGTTGGAGAGAAGGAAAAGCACCTGCCACAAGCAGGCAGGTCGCTGCTGCCCCGGGTCCTGCTCACCGGTAGCCAGCAAGGGAGGTGCGACTTGTCTGCACATACGGAATATTTGTACAGAACTTTTCCCTTTTAGTCTCCTTCCTGTCACCTGTAGACCCCAGATTTCTAATAGGTTTCAGCATGTTGCCACGTGTGGCTGCAGCAGTCTCTACATCCCACTGACTGTAGGGACATAAAAGACGCAGCCATTCCATAGGGAAGAAGAAGTCCTGGAGCCAGTTATGGTGTGGCTGTACTTCCTTCAGCTACAAGAGCTAGACAGGAATAGGCTGGGATAAGAGAATGAGTTTCAAGGTCCTGAGCAGATTGGGTAGAGAAAATTAACTATTTCTTGTTAAAATCCATGACTGAGAAAGCATAGAAGTAAAAACTTAAAGTACATTTATAAACCCAAGTCCTAAACACCTGTTCAGAGTTCACAGCTTCGTATTGAAACATCTCCAAACCCGTCTTGCCTCTCGCGCTCTCCAGCTTGGACTTCCTCCACCCCTTTCTCCATGGACATTCTTTTGCCTTTACTTGTGTCCAGTCTGAGTATCAGGGAATCTTTCCCATGACAGCAGCTGGTGAGAGCACAGGGGGAGAAATGGCAAGGTCAGCAGTTGAGAGTCAGTTATGGGAGATAAACCAGAACATTGTTCATCTGGGTATGTCAAATCTGTCTTTTCACATAAAGGAGTCAGGATCAGCCTCCTACACTGTGCTAACCACAAACAGTGAACACCCAGACAGCGGCTGTGTGTGGGTGAACTGTTTTAAAATAGTCTGTGCTGGCTAACTGAAGTCATGACAATAAAGAGCTCAAAGGGGAGGACGAACTGCAAGAGGAAATTTCTTTCTTCCCAGGCTAAGTGGAAAGTCATTTTGCTTTGTGAGCTTCAAATGATCGAGGTGAAGGTAAATGAAAGTCCAGCCTTTCCATTTTTCACTAGAATGTCAATCCCTTCCTGTCTTTATCAAGTCCTTATTCTCTCTACACACTAAAACAAAACCAGCCTTCAGTTACTCAGCAGTTACTCAGCAGCAACAGCCTAGTTACCAGTGTGTGTTGTCTTGGACTGCAAGTCAGAGATCCAAATTTCCGGATAAAAATCTTTTCAGTAGTTTTCAAAGCCCATAGCCACTGAAAAGTCCAGATGACACTGTCAATAAGGCATCCCGTGGATGGGAAAACCAAATAGTTCTCTTGTTATGGTCTTTTAAACAAGCATCCCAAATGGCAATATGAACCTTGTTTCCTCAGATGTTCCCTGGAGATCCAAGCTTTTGAGAAAAGGATTTGTTTATAAATTGTGTTTTTAATTTGCAACAATAATAAAGTAAAAATGCAAATCTCCTGTGTTTTGCTCACAGCTGCATTCTCCATACTGGACTGTCCATGTCTGAACAGAGAAATGAACAGCTCTATTTCCTTTCATTCTGCTGAACTCTTGAGCAGTTATACTGTCACACCTCACTTAGGGACTAGAGCCTCAGATCTGCCAAACACATCCCATTCAGTCAAACATGAAATAACACTTTTTTTTTTAATTTGTATATAGGATTCCTGCCCTATCCTGGAAAGCCCATTCAGACGTTCAACAAAGATGCCTACAATTCAGCAGACTCCATGCCTGGCCAAGCCAAACTCCCAGCCTGGGGCACCAGCAGCACTGGGGAGAACCGCACTGAACCCTGGCTTCTGTCCCCCACGAACATGCAATGGCCCAAACCTCCTGAAACCCTCTCTCCCTCCTCAGACAAGAAGAAACGAACCAAGCCCTCTCTGGAGAACAACACGGGGCTGCGGAAGCACCTCGGTCACTACGGAGGGGGCTTGACTCCGGAGGATCCTACGGAGGGGCCCTCTCTTTCCTCCTTGGCCTTCAACCACGCGAGCAGAAAGCAGGCGGACAGGCGGCTGGCGGAGGCTGCTAACAGCGTGTCGGCCCATTTTCATCACGGGGCAGCTTCCTACCCCAAGATCAGATCCTTAGCAGAGGTGCATCCTTTTCCGGAGCCCGGAGCAGTGAAGACAGATGACCCGACCCCGCTGCATCACTTCAACCGCCCCGGCAAGATAAGCCCCTATAAGTCTATCGATGCCTTAAAGATGGCCAAGCCCTCCTGGGTCACCAACCGGCAGTCGCCCCACGTGCTCCATCACTTCAGCGGGGTAAAGGAAGGTAACGGCGCCGGCTGCTCCGGCAAGAGCGCGGGGGCCTCTGCGAAGGCCGGCGGCCTCCCTGCGCGAGGAGCCCCAGGCTCCGTCCCTCAGCCCCCGCGTTGTTACTGCAGATGCCCGCGAGGAGGAGGCCTGTGTGAGCCAGTGCGGCCAGGAGCGGGACGAGGTGGAGGCCTATTGCGCGAGCGAGTTCGGTAAGCGGCCCCGCTACGCACTGCGCAAGGCAGGGCCGTCTCGCCCACCCAGTACCGACCTTTCCCTTCTGCTTTTAAGAAACTGTATTATTCAGTATGTTCGAGATATCCATCTTTAACATAGACTAAGACAAATAGTACCAAACCTTATGTTATCCTTTCCCTTCTAGTTTTGCTCTTTGTTTTCCTCTAGTCTCTACTCCTGGGGGACAGACAATCTGGAAGACAATATTCCAGCTAATGAGTGAATGAACTGGTAAAACCAACTGTTTTAGATATTCTGAGGATAAACATGATAGCTGTTATTACTTACCTCTTACTAATTAGAATGACGTGGTGTTTCTGGGGCTATAATTTCAAACAAAACTCAAGTGGTGGCCTGTCCAGCATACTTTCTGTAGCAAGGCTTCAAGTTCCTTAGCACTTAATGTCTTTAGTCCTTCTGCAGTTGGTGTAACTGAAAATGCTAGAAAAGAGCCTGGCATTTTTACACTGAATGCTTAAGAATTGTCTGACTGAAGAAATCTTCCTTACAGTTATGAAGTTGTGAAATAGATATCAACTTTTTCTCACAGTATTTTAGGAGATAAGCAAAATACATGCCTAGTGGCAACAGATGTTTCCATTTGCAGAGTATAAACATAGTGAGACATCTGTTTTCTCTAAGTAGAGAAGTCAGGAAGTGCCTTCTACAAATGTAATATTCTTTATTTTTCCTCACCCTTGTACATTCCCATCAAATGTAGGCCTTGTATCAACCTGACCTTTATGTTTTTCAGCCTTTAACAAATAGCTGTCTTAT